ATTACTGAAATAAATGAACTTTTGCACGATATTCTAATTTTTTGAGTTTCACCTGTAATGTAACAACCACTTTGCCCAGCACCGAAAATGTGAGTGAGCGAGTGCGGCTTCCGCACATGCACGCTACTTAAAAAACAGCGATATAGGACAGGATAGCGCCAACCCGCTAGTCAGAACTACTGGTTCGCCCAAACCGGTTCGAACCAGCAGCAACTCACCTCTGATTGTTCTGGAGTCTAAACGCAGATGGCAGTGGAAAGGTGACATTTTGGTTGAGCTCAAGAGCTTTACTAACATGTTAAACATGGTGGGGTCTTTTATGACTACAGGAGACCTGAGGAGCAATCCCTCCTACCTAACAGTTTTCTCAGTAAAAGGAATGGAGCTCATTTTTTAAAAAAAACTTGGTTATGTTTTCATGCTTTTGAGATACGGGTAATTCAGAGCTTTTTTCATTTCATGTCAGTACATAGTTACAACAGTCTCGGAAAAGTGAATTAGGATCTATCCTCAAAGTTTACAACTGTCATAACACCCTCTTGTACAGGTTGTCCTCGACTTGCACAACAGTTCACTTGGTGACATTTGAAAGTTACAACGGCACTGAAAAAGTGACTTATGACCATTTTTCACACTTAAAACCATTGCAGCATCCCCATGGTCACATGATCAAAATTCAGTAAAAATTATCATAAAATTGGGGTCCGATCATGTGATGACTGACTTATATATTTATTGTTCCTTTAATGCAGGGCCTAGTTTGTACTTGGGGATTTTGAAAAAATAGTTGATGATAACCAAGAGCCATGATAGCGAACTTATGGCATGCATACCACAGTGGCACATGGAGCCATTTGTTAGGGCACCCCAGGCGTTGCCCTGTCAGCGCCAGTGTGCATGCGTGCGCTGGCCAGCTGACTGGCTTTCTTTTTTTGGCCGTTTTTTGCCCTCCGGAGACTTCCCTGAAGCCTCCGGAAGGCAAAAAAACACCCAATGCGCAAACAGGAAGTTTGGGAATGGACTGCCGGTTTCTCTGTAGGGCCATTTTTCACCCTCTGAAGCAGGGGTGGGTTTCGACCGGTTCACACCGGTCCCTGCGATCCGGTTGGTCGCCGAACCCGGAAGTAAGTAACTTCCGGGAATGGCGAAGGCCCCCCCCGCGCGCCCGCGCGCGCCCGCACACCCGCGCCCACTCCTTACCCGGTTTTTACGAATTCTGGGCTTCTACGCATGCACAGAACGCATACAGCGCCTGCGCGAT